ACACAAGAAAGAGCTCAGACTAGAGGTTTCAGTAGTGAATCCTACTAAGTCTTTAAAAAACTTAATACCAATCACAAAGTCTTCCAGAAACAGAAGAGGAATCCCTTGCTAAGTCATCCTACATGTGTTATCTTAATACCAAGACTAGACAATGATATTACAAGAAAAGAAAACCACGCATGATATTCTTTATGAACATAGGTTAAAAATTCCTCAACAAAACACTGTCGGTTCATCTTGTATTGCTATGACAAAACATCTGAGGCTGGGTAATATATAAAGCAAAGAAATTTTGATTTGTGAATCTCGTGGCTAGTGGGACCCAATACCATGATACCTGGCTGCATCACAAACAAGGCAAAGAAGTAGAAAGGAAACCAGTCACATAAAGAAGGAGCCAAGCATCTAGGTGGTCTCATTTAATAACAACCTACTCTTGCAGTGCTAATTTTGTCCCACGACAGCTAGAACTTCCACAAGACAGCATTAATCTACTCATACCCCCATGGCCTAATTACCTCCCACCATATACAGTTCCCAACCTAATTACCTCCCAACTCTTAAAGTTCCCAAATCACTACCCCACTGCCACACAGAGGATCAGGCTTCCAGTATGGGAAGCTTCAATATGGGAAGCAAGCCATATTGAAATCACAGCACAAATCAAATGCAATAAATAAAAAACTGCATGATGGCCCAGTGGGGTTGGTGTTTGTTAGGAGTGCAGGATTACTCAACACCTGAAAATCAGACAATGTAATGCACCATGTTGAAAGAAAAAAGGACAAAATCCATGTAACACCTGTGGAAAAAGAGCATCCAATAAAATTCAGTGCCCTGTCATGGAAAAAGAGAAGAAATATCCCCTCAACAAGCTAGAAATGGAGCAAGCACTTCCTGCACCAGATAAAGGACCTCTGTGAATAACCCACCCAGCATACTAGGGGTGGAAAAAAACAGAGGTTTTGTCTTAGGATTTGAAACTACACAAGGATGTCCACTCTCACCACTACTTTGAATGTTGGATGCACACACACACACACACACACACACACACAAGAAGGATTTATAGTGATTAATGAGTTCAGTAAGGTTGCAGGACACAAGGTCAATATAAAAAAAATCAATTGTTACTATGCACTAACAATGCACAATTCAAAATTAAGAAAACAATTCTTGCATTATTAAAAACTATTTTAAAAAATGAAAAGACAACCCACAAGACAAAGAAAATAACTGCAAAACATGTATCTGGTTAGCATCTAGTGTTCTGATTATAGAAAGAGCTCTTACAACTCAAAAAAAAAAGGCAACTTGATTTTAAAAATGGATAAAGAAGACATTTCTCCAAAGACATACAGATGGCCAAAAGGCATATTTCAATGTTATTAGCCATCAGAGAATTTCAAATCTAAACCAGACTGAGTTCTCACCTCATACGTGTCATGACGGCGATCATGCAGGGTGGGGGACAATAATAAGTTTGAGTAAAGATATGGAGAATTGTACCCTTCCTATATTGCTGGTGGAAATGTAAATTTGTGCAGCCACTTTGGAAAACAATTTGGCATTTCCACAAAAATGTAGAAATGTGATCATGTGATCCAACAACTCCATTCATTCCTAAATACATAAACCCAGAGAACTGAAAGCATATGTTCATGCAAAAATGGGTATACAAATGCTCACAGCAACTTGTTCATAACAGCCAAAAATAGGAAACGATGCAGATGTCCATCA